TAATAAATGCATCAAGTTTTTGTTGTTTAATGGAACATATTGTGTTCTCTGAATTTGTAGCAGCAATTTTCTTTTCCAGGTTGTCAATTGTGGATTTGAAGAAGTCTTGCATGAGTTTTGTAAGTGTAAGTGAGGTTGAATGAAGAATTTTCTTCCATTGTGAACAAATCAATTTGTCGTTAGCTCCTATTGTTACTGGTGGATTTAAATTAAGGGATTTAGGTATAGTTTGATTCTGTAAATGTTGTCTCAGTACATCAGCATGGTGCGTGTACCTCAGTCTTTTTTTTTCATTCAGCTTTCTGAGTTGTCTGAAAGTCTTACTAGAGTTCAAATCAGAGTGCACTTGGGCAGTTGTACTGAAGGAAGTGTTTATTTCAATATTAATACATGGTTTGCTTTGTGACAGAGAAAAGGTTTAGGATATGTTAAGTTTAGAAGGTCGTCAAGTTTAGGACTTTGTGAAAAGTGGTGGTTAAAATCTCCATAACTAGGAGAAGTAATAGTAGGAAAGGACTTTGTACGTGTAGAAGTGTGACCTACAGTAGTATCAGAGTGTGTGAATGGTGCGGAATTCTTGGAATGTGTGTCAGGTTTAGAGCTTAGGGAGAAGTTTCTGGAAACAAGGGTGAAAGCATAAGTGTGTTGTTTAGAAGAATAGGAACATCTAGTTCTGGGAGAAGCAATGGTAAAAATAAAACAGAACATAACACCAGTAATACATCTATAATACAAGAAAACAGATATATAAAGTAATATTCATGATAAAGGTTTGGAATAATGACAAGAAAATATCGTTCATTACAATGAGCAACCTTTAATTGAATTTGTCTGTTTTGGCGCAAAGCTGCACAATAGGCTTTCGGTGTTGTGGCCGCTATAAGGACTGAATCCCCATTTTAACGGCATTTAGATTAAACATGTGTATAATAACGTCTTACACAAAAAACAAGATTATCTTATCTTATGCCAAAAGTGTATGGTCATTGTATTCCAATGGTAAAATCCTTAATGAAAAATTTTAGGATCAGGATATATTTTTATTACCCCATCATTTACTCAAAAGTCTTGGTTGTTAGGGCACTAGACTTACAATCTGCGAGCCACGGATTCGAAACCCAGAGTTGAACATAATATCTCTTTCAGCTGTTGGGAAATTATAATGTGATGGTCAATCTCAACACTCACTGATAAGAAGAGTTAGTGGTGGGTGCCATTCTTCTTATTGGCAGTTCATAATTAGGAACGGTGGCAGATAGCGTTGGTAGCTTTGCCATAAATAAATAAAATTCTCAAGAAAACTGATACCATGAAATACGTCTTTGATGAACTAATCTTTTTGTTGTTTGTATTCTCATTAACGAATATTTTGTTAATAAACATTTAGTTAGTTAGTAAATATTTTGTTAGTAGTTATTATTACTTATTTTAGAGGGTTCTGAAACTTGTTCCATAATCTTTATTTCAAGTGATGACCTTTATATTGAGATTAGTACCTCAGACATTTTACCGAAGTTACGTAATGTTCCAAATCAATATATATGTGATGTTTCAAGCCTGTGTATTAGAATGTTATTTATGGAAAAAGTTACTAACAACAAACGCACACAAACACGTAAGAAATACAATATGATCGATAATGCAAGTAATTCTGTAAAATCAAATTTTTGTAAATCGATGAGTAACCTGCTTATTTTTAACATTTAGCCGGTAGTAAAATGTTGTTGATATTTGTTTGCACAGCTTAAACAATAACTAATATGTGCAATAATTAAGAAAAGAAGAAGAGAGTAGCATCGTTAGTGGAAATACTGATTTTTTCTCATTATTCTTTTGTAGAGCACCCAAACAAGAAGTAATTCACCGTCTACTTTTAAAGCTGTATCTTCTAACAACATGTCCTTGGAAAACGTGTCGATACACAACATGACTCCAGCGGATATTTACAGTGAAAAATCATTGGTTATTTTAGGAGTCCCTATCCAAGATAGACCACTAGTGGTTATTTTGAAGCCGTTGTTTTATTCATTGTATCTTTTCTTCGTCGTGACTGGTTTGTGTGGGAACGCTTCTGTTTGTTACCTATTAGCTTGTGAAAAGCCTCTTCGAACCGCGACTAATTACTTACTGGTGAATGTTGCAATGTCCAACCTTCTTATGTGTGGCATCGCTCCATTTACCCCTCTAGCACTGCTATCTCACATGTCGATAATTACGACACCTTTGTGTCATATCCTGCCCTTTATATCCAGTGTCAGTACTAACTTCTCGGCCTTAATCCTCACAAGCTGTCTGGTACAGTATTCCTTCCGAGTTTACAGAAGAGCTTCTGGACATCACAATAGACGAGGAATCCATCTGTGGTTATCTCTGAGCATGTGGGTTTTCAGCATAGTTCTTTCCGTTCCTCAATCCGTCTTCAGACACTTTTACCAGTTTGAATTAGGTGGTGCTGCTAAAACTCTTTGTGATCCCAAACTTTCCCTTTATTTACAGCAAGTATTACTTCTAATAACAATTACGAGTCAGATTATCGTTCCGTTCCTCCTTAATACAGTTTGCTTTATTTGGGCTCATCAGAGTCTAACACGAAGTGCCCAACGTAGACAAGGGAAACATGGATTAAGAACCAAGCGTTATAAAGCGGCCTATAGAACACTGTATGCCCTCGTCTTCATGGCAGGTGTCCACATAGGATCTTTAATACCAGCTTATGTCTTAGAAATGTTCTACGTGTTTTGCTATTCATCTTCCCTGGAAAGACATAAAGATGTATACTCACTAGTTATTCATCTTATAACGCTTTGTCCTGTTTGTTCTACCCCTTTGTTTTTCGGACTCATAAATAACAGAGTGCTTAGAGAGAATAACTGTCGCCAAAGGGGATATGTCCCCCCATAAAAGGAAAAATATATATACTATCAGAAAATGTTTTATATATTAGTGTTGGGTAAAGATGAATGCAAATTTGAAATATAAACATATTCTATTATTGATTTAATATAACCTGATATTTTAACTTCTTTAGAGGAAAAAAAATTAATAATGGAACTATTCACAGTCAAGCTGACTTTTTATTTTTACTTTACAGCTTTTGAAAGCTATTATACTTCTATATGAACTTTCAACCCTACATTGTATTACGTTTGATTGCCATTTATGAATGTTTTTCAGAAAGTCTGAAATCATCAAATAAAAGCTACATAATGAGAAAATCCTTTCAGTATACACCGAATCCTTATAATATATTACCCTATTACGTAGCTACTGCAGAAAAGAAACCCCAACCATGAAGCTGTCTTGTTGATAAGACTATTCACATATCGTTTCAATATTTGCTTATTTTAAACACTCACGAAAAGATAGCATTTTATACTAGTGAACAAGATATAGTTGCTTAATATTAGAGATGACACGTGAAGTAAGTAAATTACAGAATAACACAAGTGCAGGCGTTTTTCACAAATGGAACAAAATGATCAAACAATATTATATCATTCAGCTTTCCAAAATCACAGACTTTTTAATCTGCTGATACATTATTCTATAAATATTTTATAAACTAAATTACAACTTGGCCAATTGCAAAGTTCGAAAAGAAAAATCAAGTTTTACAACGTTTTTCGTCAAAAGATAAATAAATACACGATATCGTAATTTAAATGATGCTTTGTAAGAAAGTAACAATAGATCTCTCTGAAAAGTGCATTTATCTAAAGATGCACTGTGATTTTCCTATTGTTTTATATTAACTTGAGTCGAGAGAAAAAGATATAGAAATTTCATTGACGTCATTTAAATCAGCTTTTAAAAAATCAAATGTCGGATAATTATTCTATGCCTATTTAATAATTTTTACAGTTATCACTCCAACTTAAAGTATTTTTGTGTGTTAATAAAGTGTAGCATTATTATTCAAATTATTAGACTAACTTAATTTCTACACAGTACTTCTTTACAAAAGATTTAGATGGTTATGCAATTTAGGCAAAGTACTAATACAACTTGATAAATAATAAACTCTTTTCAATCACTGTAGACATTAGGAAGATATTATGAGTTGATCTTTCGCACAGTTATTTAGAAAAACTATTCGTTGAACTTACACCTTTTCAATAATCACTTTTTTTAAGTGATATGGAAATAGCTATTATTCTCATAAACCGGTAGTTAGTTAATATGCTCAACTAGAGAAAACTTTCAAAAATATTTCATAGTAATTTGAATTTTAGACATTGTTTTGAATTGCTTCTGTCTGGAGCGCAAACGGCGAACAAAGTTTCTGCCTGTATCTTGAGGCTTTCATAGTAACATCCTTGAAGACTAGATGGCGCTAAGAGACTTTTCGTTATCGCTGTACTTAAGATATCTGATACCGTTTTATAGACGATATTTATGTTAAATACCATTTAATAGGTTTGAGAAAAAATGAAGAAACTACTCCTCTTGTGGGGCACATGGATTTAAGAGAGAATATGAGGAATGTATATTCGCTTTTACAAAAACCCATAGTGTGTAAAGACAATTCCTGGGGTAGAAAAAACGAGTAACAATTGGTGTTGTTACTATATACAATCTTATATTGGTAAGAACTTTATATTTAAATCTACATCAATCATAATATTAATTTAGACGTCTGCTATTCTTTACTATCTTAAATGAAAGAATCCTTCTGGATCCAACGTTTCTGTACGTTTAATAGCTTTTATTAATGATCTGCTATACCAAAATTACAGCTTTAAACAACAAATGAAAAACTATGATAACTATTTTCTTTTTCTCATAATTTACTGGTTATTACTTCTATTAATGATTGGATATGATTTTTTGTGCTCCACATGTGGTATTCAGGTACACTGATGTCCAAGAGATTAGCTACAAATTCTGCAGATAATAATAGGAAGGTCCAAAAAGGAAACGTTTCACGGATAAACATATTCAGTTCTCTAATAGTCAAATCATTTTAAAGTTTGACCTCACACTAAATGCAATAGGAAATATCTCATCTGTTGCTCAGTGACGTACCAAATGTCATAGTAAATCATGTTAAGGAAAAACCCTGAAAAATGAGGGGGAGGGAGAGATGGCTGCCGTATATAATACAAATTACTATAACCTTCCATCTAATACAGGTATAACGATGAAAAAGTTTTTCGACATTTTGGGCATTTTTAACAATCAAGGTCAATAGAACTTTCGGGTGGACCCTCATCTATTGTTTCATCTACTCGTAGTTGCTGCAAAAGTATCAAACAAGATGGAGGCAATGTTCAAGTAGAGGTTGTTCAGTCATCTTCCAGCTCTTTTTTTTGACTCATCATTCATGCTTCGAGAGACACAGAAGCCAATGCTCAAATATGCAATCTTGGCTCTATTAGCACCAGATGCCGTAGTAGCAATCAGTAAAGTCCCGCATGTGCTAAATCGCGGTGCACTCATTCATTGTTTTGAGTGCTCACGGGAATCAGTTATAAACGGGAATGTTTTTACTCTTTACACCCATTATGGCATGAGAAAATATGGATAGGCAATCGTTGTGCTAAATAGATATAATAGTGCCTCCACAAGGGTACATTGATGTTTGCCAGATTAACTACAATTTCTGCAGATAACAGATGGTTCAAATAGCCCAAAGAACAACAGGAAGCAAAACTGAAGCAGCCATGATATTCACTGATGACATATGTGTCGCAATGAAGAAAAACGAGTGTCTAGCTAATACTCTCATAATAGTATCCACAAAGAGGATGTTGATGCAGATCTCTAGGCATATCTGCTGATTTAAAGCCTGCATTTTCCACGCATGATGCTTTTTTGGAATTTTTCTTTGCCTCAGACTGGAAGAATAAATAACGTGACTCCAGAGTTGTAGGGTAACAGAGTATGATCAGTAGGTCTGTGTAATCGTTTACAAGTACAGTTTTGATCCTGACTCTACTGTTGTATATACAATGACGATATTTGCATCTTCTTGGGTATGTTGAGTCTGGCATTTCATTGTTTGCAGGTATCCACCGAGACTGTTGGCGAGTCATTGCTCGTTCGTCTGTGATACTACCTTTCGCCTCTGGGGTATCGGGAAGAGAGCTCCCCTCAAAAAATTTCATTATCATCAATGATTTTCTTGAACAGGGAAATGCGTTTTACAGAATGTCTGCCTCCAAACTAATATATCATCCCAGCTGGAGAAAGAACCCCGGTCTGTCTGTACAATGGGAAACTTGATGTTCTGTGGCACAAGCGATTTCACGTAATGGTTATCACCATGAGTTATTATGTTTGGCCACAGGGCCTTCCTCCTACATCAGATGCTACAAAATACTACAGCCTACATGTGCACTACCAGATTCAACTGTGAAGGGGCTCTGAAAGAAACATGTTGCCAGAAAAATACTGATGGAGAACTAGTGAAGAATGAATTGTCCCTGTGATGACAGACTTGCAACCAGCTCCTGACAAACTTCTACGGGTGATTAAATGCAAAATCTTGAATTAACATTCTATGCTTATTGGGCCGATGTTAGAACGATTTATATTAAATGATGGCCACTTTTTTTTGCCCTTTTGAGAGTTTTTCTCAATACGATTCAATGAAACTATTTATATGTTACAGAGGACAAGTTTCTGAGTAGAAAACGGTTGAAATATCTTCTGTTACAATCAGTGATATGTTTGATTTTTTATTTTATTTTTGTAGAATGAATGTACTATAATACCTGTGCCAGCCAGCTCCCTTTGTAACATTTGATTTGGCTGCTGGAGTTCCAAAGTAACACATCCTCACAAGGCTAGGACTAGAAGAATTGTCTTATACCATACTTTTACCACGTGACACTACACTTAGTTGAGTAAGCAACAATCCTGAGTTTCTCACATCAAATTACATTTCCTGAAAAATAATAGCTCTTCTCACACTGTCCAGCAAAGTCTGTTTAGTTTGGAACCAACAAACGCCATATGGCAGAGATAACTTTCTAAAATTACCTTTGAAGTGTGTATCTGCCCGAAATGTGACTAAGCCCTTTTTATAAGGATTCTTTCTACCTAAGCCAAGAACCACCGTATGGAAATTATATTTTAGTTATAAATGGGTAAACTAATGATAGTTTTCAACTACCACGCTCCTTTCCCCTCCTCCACGAATTGTAAAAATAAGTTTTTATTGAAACTCGGGTTAAAGTGAAACAAAAAATGTTTTAAAGTCAAAATATGCACAACCTAAAACATTCGGTTAATTGAAATAAAAATCAATTAGCAGCAGTGGATCATAAAAAGTCAAAATCATTAAAATGAAATAATCACTACAGTGACAATTACAGAACTAAAGAATAGGGTGGAAACGTTTAATACACTGCATTTTATAATTCAACATGCGCTGGATAAAATATAAATTAAGTTAAAGAAAAATTAACAGGATTCAAACAAAGAAGATCATAATTAGCAATTTCTTAAGACTCGTGAATAAAATAAACCACAGATAATCTTCCAGTTCATAATATAGAATGCAACTAAATACAGACCAAACTAAACATAACCAAGAAATAAAGTAATATAATATAATTATTTTTCGTTTGTTTATTTATATTATTATTAAGCAAAGAGCTACACGATGAACTATCTGTGCTGTGCCCCCCCCCTCCAAGACTATCAAAACCTGATTTTTATCGTTATAAGCTTTCAGACTTAACGCTGAGCCTCTGGGGAGGGGTCTGCATCATCAGGTACAGAACTGTGACTGGAACAAAATTTCTGAACACTAATCCTGCTAATAATACTAATAATAACACTAATAATACAGACTACTACGTAATCAATCAAATATACCTGGATGAACAAATAATGTTATCCTAGTTAAAAAAAAGTTTGGTTTTGTTTGTTGCTAAGCACAAAGCTACACAATGGGCTATACGTGCTGTGTCCAACACAAGTATCGAAACCCGATTCTGGGTGTTATAAGCTTTCAGACTTACCGCTAAGCCATTGGAGAGCTACAGAAAGGTAAAAAAGTATCAAACACACAACATTTCAATACATTACTTACATGCTCTAACTTATGGTCATCTTAGAAAAAATCACTTTCAAAGTTTACAGATTAATTTGTCAATACAAACTGATAATGCCAAAACACAAATATCCATTAAATACCAATTAGGTGACACAAGTAACAAAGTAATTGAACTGGACATGATAAGCTTACAAACGTTTGTTAACCTCGTGACCTTTTTTGT